CCTCCACGTGTGACCCATTCCGAATCAGCAATCAGCAGCTCTTCAAATGACGACAAAACAAAACTGTATACAACTGTGCTTTCTTAAACGTAACCCACAAAAAATGTTCCAAGATATAATCGCCTTTTAATTACCTGTGCATCGATTTCCAAAAAATGGAAATGCACCGATTTCCAAAAAATGGAAATCGGTGCATTACTCGCGTATATCTCAAGAAAAAGTCTATCCAAGCCGATCAATACCAAGCCTAAGTGTAATTTTTAAATGCACATACAAAGACATTTGCATCCATATTTCCGTCCAACTGATTTTTGCTCATCTGCACGACGATGTGATGCATGGCTCATGCATGTGCCAGGGCGACAATTGTACGAGAGAGCGTTGTTACATTTTGATCTCCGATTAGGTCCATCTGTGAACACGAGGTCCGAGGACAACTGCTGCTCGGTGTCGACCAGTGACAGAAGTTCCCCCGCCGTATCAGAACCGATCACAGACGACAGCTATGAGTCGGACAGGAAATTAAGCGACGGCAACTTGATTGGCGACCACGACGAGGCTCAAAGTGGCTTCGATGCGCCCTCTGACTCGAATCAGACCCGGAAGAAGAAAACCCGTACTGTGTTCAGCCGAAGCCAGGTTTTCCAACTGGAGTCCACCTTCGACGTGAAACGGTACCTGAGCAGTTCGGAGCGGGCCGGCCTGGCCGCGTCACTCCACCTGACAGAGACCCAAGTCAAGATCTGGTTCCAGAACCGCAGGAATAAATGGAAAAGACAACTGGCGGCGGATCTTGAGGTTGTACACATTCCTAACCCGAATCAGAGGGTGGTCAGAGTCCCCATTTTGTATCACAGCGGACCCGGAGCCGGCTCTGCACTGGCTTTTAACTTGAACGGACATCAGGTCTTCTCCAACTCCATCACTTACCCCTTGTCCTCCTTGGCCCACTCCATGAGCATACTGAGGTCGCAGATGAGCGGCTTGGTGTAAAGACATATCAAAGCATATTTTGCCATTACAGTGCAATAACACGCAACGTCGCGGACAATCGCTGATAGCGTCAGAAGGAAACATGTGACACAAAGTGAAGTCATGTTTGTGTATTCAGTGTGCGTTTGTTTGCTACTGTCAGCAAATAATAACTTGTAAACGGAGTGCAATGTACTCTGTTAAGCTTCGAACTATTTTTTGCCAAACTTTTATAAAAGAAAACACACGCGCGAACACTCTCACACACACACACACACACACACACACACACACACACACACACACACACACACACGCACACGCAC